AAGGTTGGTTCTGACTCGATGGCACACAACAGCAACATCTATTTACCGCAATAAAAATATAACTAAAGGGGGAAGACTATACCTCACTGCTGTCAAGTCAAACCCAATTCACAGTTGACCCTCTAGCAGGTTTTTGAAGCTATACATGACATGGGGTGAAATTGCCCATTTTCCTCCAGAGAAGTCACTGGTGGATTTAGACCTCTAGAGAAGCTCAGCCTTTAGATTAAGAGCACAGCTCCCTACAGTCTACCACCAGAGCTCCCTAGGACAAAAACTGTTGTTGTTGATTGCCTCCAAGTGGAGTACGATTCACCGCAACCCTATGAACAAAAGGCCTGAAGCCCCTCTACAGCTATCAACATTCATCCAAGTTCATGGAGTTTCCGGAGGCAAGCTGTTTAGGAAGTGGATGCCCAGGTAATTCTCTCTGCACTGCAAAAATGCATCTATCAAAATGTATTCCAGTTCTGCCTCATTGCTGTTGTTGAAGGGCATCAAATCAGCTTTGACTCACAGACACGTGCAGCAGATGGAAACCCCCCTCAATCTTGTACCGTCCTCACAGTCTCTCTACTGTGCTTAAGCCCATCACTGCAGCCCATCAGCTCTGGATCCGTCAACCCCTGGACACAGACGCCATTCATGGACTGTGTCTATCTTATTTAACTCTCTGGACCCAACAACTGGATTAAGCCAAGCATAGTAGGGGCTTTCGACCCATGAATGTATCTGCCTCGAGGCAAAGGCCTTTGACAAACAGGACTTCCTCTGCTGAGATAGGTTGTTGTTGTTGTCATCATTACCGTCGAGTCGCCTGCGACTCATAGCGACCCTATGTACAACAGCCCTAAACTCCGCTCTATCCTGTGCCAATCGCACTGTCTCTGACATTCCCATCCCAATTATCCCAGTCACTGAATCAATCCACCTCATAGAGGGCCTTCCTCTCCTGCGCCGTCCCTCCACCCTCCCAAGCATGATGTCCCTCTCTAAGGACCGGTCTCTCCTCACAACATGTCCAAAGTAAGTTAGACGGAGCCTCAGAATCCTTGCCTCCAAGGAGCCACCCGGTTTAACCCTCTCCAGGACAAATCTGTTTGTTTTCCTAGCAGTCCATGATATTCTCAATACTCTTCTCCAGCACCACAGCTCAAAGGCATCAATTCTCCTTCTATCCTCCTTGGTCATTGTCCAACTCTCTGATGCATAACAGGTGATTGCGAAGACCATGATAAATATTGCGACTAAACTTCAGAGACACTGATCCCAACATAAGGAACTACCATCAGCTGATGTGTTTGAAATCACAGAAGCCATGGAAGCTTCATATATAAGTTATTAGATGGAGGGCTGGTGAAAGGGAGATAGATGTGAAGGGAGGGGGTAGAAGTGGATGGATATCCTGTGGGATGGTGAAGCAGGAAATAAGTGCGTAAAGGTGCATGTGAGAAAGGCAGGGACAACACTGACACGAAAGTTAACTCCGCAATAAGGGATATACCTTTAACTTGCTGGTCTGTCTAATACTTCTCTAAATCTGAACATTCACATTGAGACAGACTAGGAAGAAGGATTGGCCATCCACGTCTGAAATAGCAGGCCTCTGAAAACCCTATGTATAACCGCTGAGATAGGAGCAAATAATAATCGTCCCTTTGTCACCTCCTCCCTCTCCAGCTCTGGATGACCAAACTGTGCGTATTAACGACCAAGGTCACAAAAAAGACATTGAAATCTATAAAAATGAGGCTGTCCAACTGACTGCAATGATTTTACCATCTGGAAAAAGGACGCCCTAAGAGCCAAGACTGTTACCTAAGAAAAAAACGTTCAAGTATGCTGGGCCAGCCAGTCCAAGAGACAACAGGTAGGTGGATCATATGCCAATTAGAAAGTGTTGGGGTTGGCAAGCCACGGGGAAACTCTAAACCAGCAGTTAATGGAAATGCTGGCTGTCATCCCCTCAGCCCATTTCAAGGAATCCCAGAAGTTTAGAATGAGATGGAATTGAATGGAAGTTTTCATCCCCACTGAAGCCAGAGATGAGGTGGTAACATAAGGACTCACGCAGGTGTCTCCGCTCTTAATGTGATGCTCTGAAATCTCACCACGGAGCCCTTCCTTCATGCTTTACAGTCTGAGGGGGACAGTAACTAAGCAGGGTTTGGTTGACAAGCTCCCAGCCTGGATGTTGGCCAAGCAAGGCTGACTAGGGAGAGGAGAGGAGAGGCCAGACATTTCAGGGTCCAAGGGAACAGCCACCCCCATCAGGCTCCACAGCGGAGCACGATGCTGTATTCAAAGGTCATGCTAACTCCCCACCTCTCCAAGCTTCTGAAAATGAGAACTACTCATGATTCCTGAGGGGGGGGGGCTCTGGAACCAGTTCCCAAATGGGTTGGGTTTGGCTTTCTAGCACACCCTTTGCCCCAGGCCATTTCCCCTTAATTTTCAGGCCCAAGTGTATTTTAAGGAAAATTGAACCCACATGCTTCTGATTCATTTACACTGAATTCATGGAGCCGACGTGGTTTGAAAAAGCCATCTGAGGTCCAGGCAGCCCCTTGAGCCATTTTTATGAGGCTCTTGTGCCTTTTTTTTCTTAGAAGCAGGAAGCCACATTTTGACATGAACAAATAAAACCCAAGCCCAAGAGATCTGAGTCTGGTTCCAAAAGTGGCACCTCTGAAACCAGTGGATCCTCAAATTCCCCAAGATGAAGCTTAAGCTCTCTGCTTTCTGTCTTAGAAGTTAGAAGGACCTGACCATGGTGGGGTGCCAGGACAGGTCGAGGAGCCAGGGCCTGCAGAGCCCCAGGGAACCTGGATCCCAGCCTGACCTCCGCCTCCCCACACCTAGGGAACTCCAGGCTCTGTGCGACCTTCTGGTTTCCAAACGGTGGAGAGCGAGCTGGGCACCCATGCTGGCAAGCTTGTGAGAACGGCCATGTCTTCTCAGCCAGAAAGCTGGGCATTGGAACTGTTTGCTACAGATGCGATTGTTGTCATCACTTGAATCCAACTGCAAGGCATAACTGGGAGTAATCTGGGTGTACTTCCATGTCTCTAGGGCAAACAATAGGAGGCTGGTGAGGGGTTAAGGACAGCTGCCAGGAGGAGGAATTCCTACGTGCTGCACGAGGCTCGATGTGCTGTTTCCCTCCAGGAAAAACCACCTTTTCTGAATCACAGTGGCACTGCCTCAGGCGCTAGGAATCCAGGCTGCTGCACACTGAGCACATACCAATCAACCAGTGTCTGTCTAGTCAACTCCAACGCATAGCCACCCAACATGCCTCAGAATAGCACTGCATGCAATAACATTGCTTTTAATGCCTGAATTTCCTGAAGCACATTGCCAGGCCTTTCTTCCAGAGTAGACTTGAACATCTAACCTTTTGATTAACAGTCCAATGTGTTAACAGTTTGCAACTCCCAGGGCATGTCTTTAATAAATGTGTTCCCAACAGGTAGACAGAACTAACTTGGCAGGTCCACCTCCTCCATCAGGAAGGGCCCACCACCCTTTCCTTCCGAAGTCCCAGGTCCATTTGGATGGCATGTAAAGGCAGCTGTCCCACCATGCAACTCTGTGATTGTGCACTTGGCCCTCTTTGGCCCAGCCTGGGACTGAAGACTTCAAGAAAACTTAGCGTCTCTGACCCTCCTTCTCTAGCGTGAAGGATGCTGAGGGGGCGGAGCTCCGTTCTCCAGCCTCATTGGTCGCCGCTCTTGAGAGCATTCCTAAGAGCGGGTTCTCCACTCCAGATGTTTGTTAAAGCTCGTCAAAATCCCAACCCCAGAGCCCTATCCCCTGTAACTAACTCAGAAGCTCTGCAGATAAAGCCCCAGGAAGCTATGTTTTTCTATAAAACTCCAATTTTAAGGAAGGGATGAGGATCACTGGCTTAAGGAAACCCTAGCTTTTCTGGAAATTCCAAGGGTAATCCACACACTAGAGGGATAACTCGGGTGCTGTTTTGACACAGAATGAAATCAGATTCAGGGTGGAAGGTTCCTCCGAATCCTTCCACACCCCTATTTCTCTACATGTCCCCTCCCCTGCATCTGCCAGAGTCAGAAGTGAGGACCTGGCTCTCTGGGGAACTTTTCAAGCCAGGACACACCACCGGGTTTAAACAGAACCAGAACCAGGCCCCGAACGGAGATGAAATGAAGCAAACAATAGATCTCTTCAAATATTTAATCAGCTTGGAGACTTCTGCCTTCTAACCCTGTTGGGTCAAAATGTTCAAGATTAAAGGAGTCCCCCCAGAAAACACTGGACTAGAATGGAGAGGAGACTGGGTTTGGAAGACAGAATAGAATGTGTCTGAAGGTCTTTGGAAGACATTCTACCACTTATTTAAAAAAAATAAAATAAAGCTCAAATGAACAAGAAAGGATTAAACAGTTATACAAATTGAAGGACAACTAAAACATCTTTTATGGCTGAGAAATACCAGACATGGTTTTGAAATAGACTCTTTAAAAACCCTTAGATCTTGCTGTGGTTTGTTTCCACAGCTTCTCCATACACGCAAGAAGCAGACTAGCTAGACCCAGCATTCCCCACCAGCTCTGGGGCCTTGGCAAAGCAGCAGTGCAGCAAGAGATACAGGGAGTGGGATGGGAGAGGGACCAGAAGCTGTTCACAGATTTTGAACAGAGATTCACACCCCAGCAAGCTCATCAATTCCCTTTGGGGGCAAAAAAAGAGAGGAGAACATAAACTCAAGACCTTCAAAAGCCATCAATTCTCTCACATCAGGGGCCAAAGATAATGCTTGTCTGTAACTGGGTCATAGGAACTGGGGGATGGCAAGTCCTTCGGAGTGACACTCTACAATGATACAGGTGGGGGACAGGCCATGGGGCCGACCCCTGGGGAAACGGTCAGCAGGCAAGGCATAACGTCTGTCTCCATCTCCTTCTCTCGCTTGTGTTGCCTCTTCTCCTGTCCCTTGCTAGGCGGTGCCCGTGCTCCCACGAGGGACCTCAGAAGGGGTACTGCGACACGTATACCCGCAGCCGGATCACGGAGCTGCCCCTGAAGTTGATGACAGTGTTGACGGTGATCATCTCCAAGTCCAGCTGGATTTCCCGGGGCCCTTTGATGGGGCGGGTCATCACCAGGGTGGCACTGATGGGGCCTGTTTGCTGCGGACAGAACAGAGGACAGTGAGTTTGGAAGGTCTGACTTGCGGGGCATTGTGGGTCTTACCCCAGAAGTCACTGAGCAGCAGCAGGAAGGAGTAAGGAAAGCAGGCTGTCCATCTGTCCGCCAACAATGCAGCCCCTGGCACGATCACCACTGCCCAGGCCTGGCCACGGCCACCTCCTCCGCCCACTCTGGTGCTCTCTGCTTTGCTCACGGCACTGCAGTCAAACCCCACCTGCACAGGTCCTCCTGTGCACCAACTGTGCCCACACACCACCTGTTCCTGCCTGCTCGCTCTTCCAGTCTCCCCTCAGGAAAGGGACTTCCTAACTCTCCAATTTAACATGTGCTTCCAAGGGCCCTTTGTATTGGCATCCTCTTCTCTGGACAGAACGGAAAGTTGTTGTTATGTGCTGTCAAGTTCGTTGTAATCTTATGAACAATGGCTCTGAACCCTGCCCTGTCCTGAGCCAACCTCATGCTTTCTGATACACTTGACTTTACTGCCACAGTCACTGTGTCAATCCATCTCATCCAGGGTCTTCTTATCCTGTGCTGACCCTCTATCCTGCAAGCATGATGTCTTTCTTGAAGGACTGAACCCTTCTGGCAACATGCCCAAAGTATGTGAGACAAAGCTTCAAAATCCTTGCCTCCAAGGAGCAAACTGGTTTCACCCTCTCCAGGACAGACTTGTTTGTTCTCTTGGCAGTTCATGGTATTACTCTTCTCTGGCACCATAACTCAAAGGTATCAATTCTTTTTCTGTCATCCTTAGTCACTGTACAGCTCTCAGATGCATAGAAAACAACTGAGAAAACCATGGCCTGGATCAGGCACACCTTAGTCTCCAAAGTGACACCATTGTTCTCTAGCATTTTGATGTGATCCTTAACAGCACATGTTCCCAAATGCAACTCATCTTTTGATTTCCTGACTTCTGGTGCCAAGAGTGTTGATTGTGGGTCCAAGTAACTAAACAGAAGGTACTCGGTGCCATCTGCACTGCTGGTCCACATCTGACATCCGGGTCTCCACTAGACTCTGAGAGCAGAGAGAAGGAATCTGGCAGATTCTTCACCACTTGACTTCCCCCAGAGCGCAGAATAATGCGTGCAGCAGGTCCTCAGTAATGGATCTTTAATGAAAAGATGGACGACTGAACTGACTGTGTGACTTAGGGTCACTGCTTCCGGTCCCTGGAACTTACTCTCTGCATCTCCACCAAGATGCTTTGCATCAAATGATGGCCCAACAAATGGCAAGTTCTCAGATAAACACCATCAAAACTTTCCATCACCATCGAGTTCATTCCTTCTTGTAAGGACCTTGTCAGACAGAGTTGAACTTTTCCACAGGGTGTCCAAGGCTGTAATCTTTACAGACTTTTCAATCACTTGCTGTGCTGCTGAGAGCTGGACAATGAACGAGAATGGCAGATGAACTGAAACCTTAGAACTGTGGTGTTGGAGTACTGAATATCCCATGGATTGCCGAAGAATGAGCAGATACAGGTCTTGAAGACGTGCAGCCAGAGTGCTCACTGGAGGCAAAGATGGCTTTGGACATGTTGCTAGGAGAGGCTATTCCTTGGAGAGGGACATCATGCTCGGAGAGGTGGAGGCATGGAGAAAGAGAGCAGCCACCCCTGTGGTGGCACAGTGATACACAACCCCTTACCGCTTCCTCATCGCAACCTTCTAACCCCTTATTGCATCCTCAGGAAGCCTAAGGCCTGTGCAGTCCAGACCAGCAACCTCAGCACCAGCATCGCCAGAGGACTCGTTAGAAGTACAGACTCTCCAACAATGAATTAATGGAAATCCAAGTTCTTTATAAACTTACAATATAATTTCAATCAAAAAAAAAAAAAAAAGAAAGAAATGCTTCATCAGACCCTCTGCTGGAGAAAGAGGGACAATCTCCTCCTGTACCAGTCAGATCTGATTTGGCAATACACACCCCAAAAAAATGCTAAAATCTTAAAAAAGAAGAAATGCCGTCTATCAGGTTCCATCCCAGACCTGCTGACCGGGAATCCCCATCCTAACAAGAGACCCAGGTGTGCACATTCAAAGTCAAGCCAAGTAGGACCATGTAGGGGCCTGGCTGCCCTTGTAAGGGGCCAGGCTGGGGGATGTCCCATTACCTCCCAATTTATAAATGAGCAAATGAAGTCCCAGTGAGGTTATACACTTGCTTGGGGTAACTAAAGGCAAAGGATTCCAGTTAATGGTTTCCATCACATCCTTTTTTAATTGCTGTCAATTATCAGAGGCTGATAATTGATGTGTGCTCAATTTCTCTGTCCCTCTGCCAGGCCCTGGCTGACCCCACGCACAATGGAGCGAGATGTTGCCTGGTCCCATGGGACCTCTAAGATCAGTTGCAAATCAAAGCACTATGATCCACAGGGCTTCCGCTGGCTGAGTTACAGAAGTAGAGCTGGAGGTCTTCCTGCCTCGCCTGTCCTAGCTGAAAGCTCCTGTGAAACATTCAGGCTCCTCTAAGAGGGCAGATGGGACGCAGCTGCCTGTGACGTGCACTGGCCAGAAACAGAACCTGGTTCTCCTGCATGCGAGGTGGGACTCCACCTCTGAACCACCACTGTCCCCTTTGCTTCTTTCTTCTTGGTACTACTTTAAATTAGACATGTGTCAGTGAAGGATCCCCTGGTGGTGTGGTTCATTGTGTGTCAGCTGTTCAAATCCAGCAGCTGCTCCGAGGGAGAAAGATGGGACAGCCTGCTCCCGTTAATAGCCTCAGATATCCAGGAGGGTCACTAGCAGTCAGAAAGGACTCAAGACAGGAGATTTGGTGGGTTTTGTTTGTTTGACTAGACACGGGACACCTGGGGAGAAAATAGCGTGTGGGGACAGATGATCACATCTAGGAGCTGTGGGACCAGAACTTTCCCAGAAGCTGAAAGGAGAAGTCTGTGAAATCTGCTTATTTAAAGCCACGTCAGGCATGTTACCTGTCTCAGGGATAGATAACCCGATAAGCAAGGTACACATGGGTTAACTGTGCTTAATTAAGTGTGCTTACTTATTAATCAAAGATGTGAAACCTACATGAATTTGAGCACGACAGATTAGTGAGTAAACACTCTCAAACCTGCGCACACCTTGCTTACGGTAAGCTGGCAGTTACTGTACTTAGTGAGGCCTGTCCCCCACCCCCCACAAGGGAAGGCTCCTCACAAAAGCCTGGGCAGCAGCCTCAAGATCTGCCACTGTAATGAGAAAGGCAGGGCCACCGGCCAGGTGCCAGCCAGGTGCTGGGCCCTTCCTTGTCCACTGGGCTATCAGCAGCCGATAGCCACAGAACTTCCTCTTGGCCCAGTCCCCTCCTGTTTCCATCAGCACCTGCGTCATTGGCAGCTCTTCAGGCTGAGAACAGCTTGCACTTCCTCATCAGCCCACACAGAGCCCCAGAGCCGCTGGCCAGGCCTTCAGAGGGCACAGCCACACAGGGAAATAATGCCCACAGCTTTTGCATAGACAAATAACTTGCCAGCTTTCACGGTCTGCATGGGCAAAGGCCGAGGTTGGGGTCCTGAGCCGTGAGGAGTGGTGGGCAGGGAGATTTGAAGATCTCAGGGTTTGTAAGGGGGATGGAGTGACTGGAATCTTGCAGGCCACTCGTTTTGGGCTTTCCTAGTGAGCATCTCCAGAGGGTGAGAACATCCTAGACTCTCCCCCTTGGACGTGAGCAAGTCCCGTCTCCTCCAGGATCAGCTCTGCAGGGTCTTTGAGCAAGCCCACCATGAGTACACAGAGGGGGCTACACGGCCACCCAAGACAGCTACCGTCCCACCGCCGGCTTTTAGAGCAGAGTTAGGAAGCTGGTGCTCCCAGAGCCACCGTGGTCTCGGGAGGTTTTGTACGTGGGAAGGACCTTGATCCTTCTTGTCTTAGCTGTGTTCCAGCCCGACTCGGCTAAAGTCAGTCACCAGTCCTCTTCTGAGCACTCAGCGTGGGACAGGCTGTCCACAGGGCTGGTAAAAGAGACCTGGATGCATGTGTGCGTCCATCATGGATGCACACGTGTGTGCAGGGCTAACCATGAATGCATTGTGTACCTGTGTGAACGTGTGCGTTCACATGTAGGCATAGTTGTGTTACATGTGTTTGCGTGAATATGTTTGTTAGGCCACTTGTCTGCTAAGCTCAGAAGGGTCTACTTAGTACTCGAGTAACGAGATCACTGAGTCTTTGGTCCAGAAGCCTGACCCACCATCCACTCAGCCTCTCAGATGATGCTGCAGGCCCCTCCACAGCATTCTGACTTCCCTGCTCTCCTCTCTAAGGCTCAGGGGCCCATGCCACACCCTCCCCCGGCCCCAGCAGCCTCAGAAGCAGAGGACATCACAACCACAGCCACAGCATCTGCCCAATAATGACCAACGTTCATCGAGCACTTTGTAACTATTGGATGTTAAAGTGGACTTTTTTGTTTCTCGCCCTCCATTGCTGTTTCGTGTTTCAGTACCAAAGCTAGAAAAGCAGGTGAAACTCCCACCTTTTAAAGACCATTTAAACAGTCTAGACAGACTGCCTAGGTTCAAAGCCCGCCCTGGTGCTTAATTAGCTCTGGTGAGACTTTGAACAAGCTCCCTGGCTTCTCTGTGCCTATGAAATCAGAATAATGAAACAGTGCCTGGAGGAGCCCTGGCTGTGGTATAGTTAAGAGTTCAACAGCTAACCAAAAGGTTGATGGTTCAAATCCTCTAGCCATTCCACAAGAGAAAGATGTAGCAGTGTGATTTTATAGAGTCAAACAAAATTCATGGCTTTTGAGTCGATTCCAACTCATAAAGACCCTAGAGGATAGAGTAGAATCGCTCTGTATTCCCAACAGCGGCAGACTGCCACGCTGTTCTCCATGGAGGGCCTGGTGGGTTCAAACCAGGAACTTTCTGGCTAGCAGCTCAGAGCTTAACCACCGCAACACCACGGATCCCTCAGAAACCCTCCAGGGCAATTGGACTCAATCC